AACCCTTGGCTTGGTGTTGTCAGCACCATGCTCAGCCAGTGAGCGAACCGGTCATCCCTATATGGGATCCGAACCCGGGGCCTTGGTGTTATCAGCACCGCACTCTCCCGAGTGAGCCACGGGCCGGCCCAATATTCCAGCTTTGCACCTAGGTATAGTATGTGAGTGTTAATCTTTTCTTTTAAAATCTGCGTTTGCATATTATATGCTCATATGTGATACATTTCATGATTAAATGGAAAAAGTATATAGACTATAAAAAACTGGAATTATGAGTAAGGACATAACACCTGTAAAAATGAAAATGATGGTCTTTAAAATATTCTTTTAATACTGTTAAAAGTGATCGTACAATAAACATAATTGAGGGGAAAAGAAAAAGAACCGAGTTACTTTCAATTTGTGAACTGCATACATGTTCAATTTATGTAATATTTGTTTTGCAGGATGGCATCAGAATTAATGTAACCACCCTGAAAAATGATGGGGAGGTATCTAAAGAACAGGTTTGTCTCCTTTTAATTATGTTTTTAATGTATCATGTAGCTAAGTGTTGTTCAGCCTGATTTATTTTTACCTACACATCTAATTTAGTTAGTTAATGTAATTTTGACCTGAAGAGTTTGTCATTATGTATAAACCATTGGAATTAATGTATATGCTGCTTTATTTAAAGGTTGTTCTTAACATAACCTATGAGAATGGACAGGTATATGTAAATGACTTCCCTGTAAGTAGTGGTGTAACCCGAATAAGCTGTCAGACTTTGATAGGTGAGTACTACAGAATTATTTCCGTATTTGTTCTGTTGTTAATAAAACTAAATTAGTAAAATAATTCTTGGATGTTTTATATTTCCATTTTATTTAATTAATTTACTTATTTATTTGGCACCTGGCTGGTATGGGGATCCCCTCGACCTTTTAAAATAATAATATATGTACATGATTACTGGAATATATAATAACACTAATGTGTTTAAAGCTATATTCTTTATATTGGGTATTCCTGGCATGTTCACTTTTTTTCTTTCATGAGATTGGCATTGATGGAACTGCATTTCTGGTAGGCTGACATCAGCATAAGAATGTGCATAGAGGCAGTAAATGGTATAGCCAGAGCCATAATCTTAGAGGGGTGCTTACCACAACTGTAAAAAACAGAGAAAGTGAATTGCTATCAGATTATGTAGTTTTCAGTTTCCTCTATCCTCATATCAGTAGAACTTTTTTTTTTAACCTTTTAAAATTTTGAGTTGTTTATAGATAAGCAGATACGTTACATTGGAATGTACCATATTATTTGAATGAAATAACAAATGAGGAATATGGGGGGGTGGTCTTCAAAAAGTTCATGAAAAGATTTGTATTATCTTTTAATTCTGTCTTTCCATGAAGTTTTTGAAGTATCCTTATATATAGGATTATTACCTGTTTTAATGTATGCATTTCAAGCAGTAAATTTTCTTTAAGGACTTGTATTCTATACTTGATTTATTACATATTTTAGTTATCATTTAGTTCAAAGTGTTTTCTAGTTACTTGTTGTGCAATTTCCTTGTCTTATAGGTCATTTAGAAGTATATTGCTTAATTTCCAAACATTTGGGACTTTTATACTGATTTTACCACTGTATAATTTCAACCCTTTGAAATTAGATTTGATTATGACTTAGAATAAGGTTAGTTTCAATAAATGGTCCTTTCCATGTAAACTTGAAAAGAAAGTAAACTATGCAATTAGTTGAATATGGTGTTCTGTATACACCAGGTCAGATTTTTAGTCATGTTCAATCTTTTATGGAATTACTAATTTTTTTGGTTGCTTGCTCTATTAATTACTGAAAATGGTATGTTAAAATCTCCACTATGAGGATTTGTCTGTTCTCCTTTCAGTTCTGTCACTTTTTTGCTGTACGTATTTTGACACAATATTACTAAATGCATACAGATTTATAACTATCGTGTCTTCCTGGTGGATTGACTCTTTATCACTATAATATGTCTCTCTTTATCTTTAGTGATGTTCTTGCCTTAAAATCAGCTTTGCCTTTATTAGTTTAGTGATAACTGCTTTTTAACAGGGGAGGAGGGGAGGTAAATGTTGTGTGGTATATCTCTCCATTTTCTTTTACTCTTTCTGGGACCTTATATTTAAGGTGAATATCTTATAAGCAGCATATGTTAGTTTTTTTAATTGTTTGTCACTCTGTCTTTTAGTTGGGATTTTAATTTATTTATATTAATTACTGATATATTTGGATTTAAATCCTCCATCTTAATTGTTTCCTTTGTCCCACCTGTTCTGTTTCTTTTTCTTCCTCTTTTTGCCTTCTTCTTTTTGTTTCATAGTTTCCCTCTATTTTGTTGGTTTTACATTATTTCATTATTCTTTTAGTGGTTACCCCAGATAGCAACAAATTAGTGCTTTTATCATTTCTCAAACAATGCAAGAACCTTAGAACGAATAAATAAACTCCATTTGTTCCCTTTGTGCCTTTGTGTTATCATGCATTTTAGCTCTTTGTGTTCTTAAACCCCATGCAACATATTTATTATTTTATATAGTCATGGTTACTCTTTCCGTTGTTCTTCATTTCTCTCTGAATATCTGTGCTCTTTTCTGGGGCCGTTTTTCTTCTTCTTTTTTTTTTTAATAAAGATGACCAGTAAGGGGATTTTAACCCTTGACTTGGTGTTGTCAGCACCACGCTCACCCAGTGAGCTAACCGGCCATCCCTATATGGGATCCGAACCCGTGGCCTTGGTGTTATCAGCACCACACTCTCCCGAGTGAGCCACGGGCTGGCCCGGCCGTTTTTCTTCTTCTTTTTTTTTTTAATAAAGATGACCAGTAAGGGGATTTTAACCCTTGACTTGGTGTTGTCAGCACCACGCTCACCCAGTGAGCTAACCGGCCATCCCTATATGGGATCCGAACCCGTGGCCTTGGTGTTATCAGCACCACACTCTCCCGAGTGAGCCACGGGCTGGCCCGGCCGTTTTTCTTCTGCCTAAAGAATTCCCTTTAGTATTTTCTAGTATAGGTTTGTTAGTGAGTTATCTGAGCTTTTGTTTGTGTGAAAACATCTTTATTTTGCTTTCGTTTTAGAAGGATATTTTTGCTGGTTATAGAAGCATAGGTTAGCATTTTTGTTTTAGTACTGAAATTTCATTTTATCTCCAGCTGTGTGAGACTGCCAAATGCTCTATTTAGTTTTGCTGCCTCTTAGTCATTGCTTTTTACTCAGCTTTTCTTCTTTTTATTTTAGTGGCCAGCCAGTATGGGGTACCAAATCCTTGACTTATAATGTTCAACACCGTGCTCTAACCAATTGAGCTAACTGGCCAGTCCCTGTACTCAGCTTTCCAGCTTCTTCACCTTTCAGCTTGTGAATTGGCAAATGCCTTATGGGGAAAAGTAGCATAGGATATTGTACTCACCTCAGTGAGCTCTCTCGGCCTCTTAAGTGCTGGAGTCCTTTTAGCTCTCAGATGCCTCTAGACTGGTGTGGGTTTTGAGTGTATATGTGAATGTGTATTTTCTACATCTTTTCTAGTGATTCTCAGCAAGAGGATTGGTGTACTACAAGCTGATCCACTGTAGCTAGGAAAAGAAGTGCTAGTACTGATTTAAATAATAATTCTTTTGATGTTGTAGTCACTGAGAATTGACATGGAGTGCAACCTAGCTGCTGTATTTATTATAGCCATTTTTCCAGTCATCTTGGTTGTTGTATTGAGTTTGTTCCTTTTATAGCTGAAGTAAGTGCTTATCCAATTACAATAAGAATCTTTAGAATATCAAATGCATCAACAACAACAAATCTTCTTTAATTCTTTTTAAAAATTTCTTCTTTGGCAGGTGTTTGAAGGATCTTCCAAAAGATTGGAAAGATTCATATTATCTTTTAATTCAGTTTTTCCACGAACTCTTTGAAGTATTCTCATATTAGTAATTTATTGCAGCATAACAATTTAACACAAAACTCAGTAGCCTAAGACAATATCTACTGTTTCATAGTCTTTGTAGGTCAAGAATCTGACCGTGGCTTAGCTGGGTCCTCCGGCTCTCACAAAGCTACCGTCTGCTGCCTAGCTCTTTCATGTGGTTATTGGCAGGATTCAGTTCCTTGTGAACTGCTGAAGGTACCCCTTGGTTTTCCTCACCACATGTTGGCTGGAGGCCTCCCTCACTTGCTTGTCATGTGGACCTCTCTATGGCGCATCTCACAACATGGCAGCTGCTCTGCTGCCTAGCTCTTTCATGTGGTTATTGGCAGGATTCAGTTCCTTGTGAACTGCTGAAGGGACCCCTTGGTTTTCCTCACCACATGTTGGCTGGAGGCCTCCCTCACTTGCTTGTCATGTGGACCTCTCTGTGGCGCATCTCACAACATGGCAGCTGCTGCTTCAGCGAGAGGACAAGACACTGCAAACAAGAGCAAGTACTAGCAAGACAGAAGTCACAGTCTAATTTAATCATGGAAGTGACAGTCCATCATTTGTGCTGTGCTCTGATTGTAGAAACAAGTTACTAGGTCCAGCCCACACTGGGGGGTTGTGGGGTGGGAATTAAACAAAGGTATGAATACCTGGAGGCAAGGATCATTGAGGGCCACTTTTGAAAGCTGCCTACCACAGTAAGGAAGTCAGAATATGAAGGGCTTTTGTTGTTTTTAATTTATTTCTGTTCTACAGTAGGGGTACTAGATTTGGGCACTAAGGAGTTGTCACTTTGTATTTATATGACTGTATTTTCTCACCCATTCAGTCTCTTATGCCCTAGACTTTGGGCATGCAGACAACCTGACAAGGAGCCTACCGTTCTGTAAGGGAGACCAGTGGATAAACAGTCAGTTAAAACACTGAGATGGACCATGAGTGAAGGAACGTTTTACTGTTATGAGCTTCAAAGGATATTAGGGGGTTAAGCACTCTAGCAAGAGGAACAAGTGCTAAGACGAACCTGAAGGAGGAGGACCAGGGAACTACCAGAAAACCAGGATGCCATTGAAGGCTGTTTGAGCAAGAAGGCTGTATAATCAAAACTAAATCATAGTGAGATTAATCTGGCACTGTTGTATGAATGGTTTGGAGAGGAGGGGGACTAACAGGGAAACAGGTAAATATTGTAATAGTAAGTGGCTAATGAACTAGATATTGGGATATTCCAGGCAAAGGGAAGAGCTCTATAAAGACACAGAATCAGTTTCAACAGCTCGGTCTGCATTCAGAATATGTACCTGGGTTTTTGTTTGGCAAATTATCCTCAGATTGTTCGAGGGACAGAAACTTAATGCTCCTTTTGAGTTTCATTGGTATATGTTGCTCTATCTTTTTCCACAGCATTTTCTACCTTAATAGAATAGCCACTGGTGCTACAAACCAACTGCAACTACTGTATCCCACCTCTGTTGGGGTGGGGATGGAGGTTTCCTAGCTAGAGAGAAACATGGCCAATAGCTAGTCCTACTCCACTGTCCATTACTAAGGAATAATTACAGGCATCTTTTACACCGTTCCCCATTCCTGCCCTTTCCAACAGTAACAAGTCACTTACTGGTGAAAGGATTGAGAAAAAAATTCACCATCCTTACTGCTTGGGCCCCTTCTATCACTGGATTTTGTGGATGAATGGATGGATGAATGAATGTGCTTCTTTTGCTAAAATATGGGATTGACTGTATCTTTTGGCCTGCCTTGTAAATAGTTATACCATGTTGGCTCCTCATTACCAACCTGTACAAAAATATAGGAAGAGTGTTACTAGTGTGGCATTTCATACAAAATCTAAAGACCATCAAGCATTTTTCCCTTCTCAAATGGGTTTGAGCAGTTGTAAGGATTTGTCAAATCATCTTTGTTTTTATGAATCTGAAACAGCATTGAGATCTGGGATGAAGAAAGCCAAAGAAATTGGTTTACAACTGTCTTATTCCATTTAAATGTCATCAAAATAATCAAATCTAGTAACATTTGGTGGCAATTTTTGTTCAAAGCTGTCACTACTTTTTCTTATAGAGAAAAATGAAAATCTGGAAAATTTGGAGGAAAAAGAATATTTTGGAATTATCAGTGTAAGGATTTTAGTTCATGAGTGGCCTATGACATCTGGTTCCAGTTTGCAACTAATTGTCATTCAAGAAGAAGTAGTAGAGATTGATGGAAAACAAGTAAGATAGTATGCTTATTAATTGGGAATTAAGTTGTAATTTAAATTTGTGCCAGGTATTATTTATGTGTTTGGTTACTTTATTTGTTTCTAACTTGATAAGGAAGGTACCCTACTGTTGCATGTATCCAGTCATTTAGAATTTTTGTTTAATTATTTTAGCATTTGAAGTGTATTCATTTTCTAAAAATTGCTCATATTCATACATGTTTATATCACTTAAAAATGTTATGAACGTCAGAAAAATTTTAAAATGTTATGAACATCATATAGCAGAGAAAGTAAGTGAAGAGATTTAAGAATAAGAATTTGGTTCAGGGCTGGCCTGTGGCCCACTCGGGAGAGTGCAGTGCCGATAACACCAAGGCCACGGGTTCAGATCCTATATAGGGATGGATGGTTTGCTCACTGGCTGAGCGTGATGCTGACAACACCAAGCCAAGGGTTAAGATCCCCTTACCAGTCATCTTTTTTAAAAAAGAAAAAAGAATTTGGTTCATAGCTCTGCTACCATTCCTCTAAGTATCTATGAGTGTAAATGAAATGGAACTAAGATTAAGCTTATAGGGCCGGTTTTTCCTAGTCCATCTTCTAACTTTATCAGAATTAAAACACATTTACTAAATAACTATTGTGGTCAAGACACTTTTAGAGATTCAGATGTGCATAACACAAACTCTGCTAAGAACTTAAAGTCTAGTAGTGAAAGAAGGGAAACATATATATAATAGAAAATGCAATGTGTGTGGAAAGAGATAAGAGGACTTCATTATGTATTTACAACCCCAAAATATCATTATGTATTTACAACCCCAAAATTTACAACCCCAATTACCTTTTATAAAAGGTAATTAATTTCAGAAGACTAGCAGGATATTTGTTGCAGCATTGTTTATGATAAAAAAAACAAAAGCAAAACAAGAACCCTTGTAACTCTTTATCAGTGGGGGCTTGACTAAATAATGTCACACATCTGCATTGGGATTCTGTGCAGCTGAAGAAGTCCAAAATCTAGTAGGTTGGGGGGGATAAGTTGCAAAATAGTATGATTGCCTTTGGGTAAAACAAAAGTATTATATTTGTTATATGTACAAAAATGCAGAGAAAATTTCTGGAAGGAGAAACTTAAGTTATCTCTAATGAGTAGGAATGACTGGCCAGCTGCCCCCCCCCCCCAAAAAAAAAAGTGAGTAGGAATGAGTAGGGGGTGGAGAGACTGACTTTCACTTTCCTTCTATGTTTGATTTTTTTTAACCAAAGAAATTACTTTATAATAAATTATAAAATGAATTATTAACATGTTCACAAGTTAAATCATTTGTCACTTTAGTTATCTTAATAGAAGCAAATTTCAATGGAGAGGACCACAATTTTCAGCTTAGCTAAATTACTTTGTGCTGTTAGATCATAAGATTTACAGAAAAAAAGACCTAACGTGAACATTTGCTTTTCCACTTGCTTGTTACGATGTTTTTGAGACTCCCATTTCTTCACGGTAACAGTGAAAATGCCTATCTTGAAGGATTGTTAAAGGTCAAAGTCATAATGCAAGCAAAGCACATGCAGAGTAAAGAAATATTAATGCCCCTCTCACCTTTTAGTTTGGATTTCCCCTGAAGAATTGTCATTCCCATTCCTTTCTGATAATTAAAATTCTTCTAATGTATCAGTTTCTTCCTTTTGCCTTTGGCTGCCAGGAAGCTCAGGACTTTTTCTGAACTTTTTAATGCTTACCTGCACAGAAGACAGTGTTGTAATTTTTTTGTTTTCTCTTACTGTTGTTTTATTTGCTATGGGCTCCTTTGCAGGAAAAGAAGCAATGTAAAATTAAAAACCAAGTGTGTAACCTACTTTATCGGTGACAGTTGGAGTGAGTCAGACAATTGTATTGTACTTTCTTCTCAACGAGTTAATACAGAACTTTTAAGTAAAATCATCCCTTCACTTCTCTGTTCTTCAGTTCTTATTCTTGTTAGTCATTGTCAACTGGGTGGGCATCTTTTATCCAAATTCTATGTATTGATGTAAATGCATACTAGATAATTATAATTGTCTATCAACCTAGACTCTTGTTCTGCATTTTTCACTCCAGACAGAGGTTCCCAGACTTACTTGGTTCACAGCATTCTTAGTGTGCCAGCAATTTTTTTGATGCCCTTACCTAGGCCAAAAGAAAAATTTAAAGAGAAATATTTTTATTTCATTCTTAAATTACTTACTAACAGGATGTGTGTACCTATGGGGCATTACAGAGTACCTCATTTCTTGGAATCTGATTGGATACTATCACCTTCATTTCCTGTTCAACATTATGTGCTTTTTATTAGTAATCTAGCTCTGCAAAGGTATGACTTCATTGAAGGAATGTAGTACAATCTAATGTTGAAACCACGAACTACCCTGAAGCTAGTATTACACATGAAGTCTCCTGACAATTTAAAATATTCTCTGGTGCCTCTGAGTTTTCTGTGCCAACCCAGGGGCCTCAGTGCAGCTTGGGAACCATTGACTTAAACTCTTTTCCTACCAATGCATATGTAATCTTACTACTTCCCCCCCCCCACACACAGGAACCATTGACTTAAACTCTTTTCCTACCAATGCATATGTAATCTTACTACTTCCCCCCCCTCCCCCCCCCACACAGTTACCTCTTTTTATTTCAGTTTTATTTATTTTATTAATATTATTTTTAGTTGATAAATGATAATGGTATACAGCTTACCTATTCTATTTATGGTTGCATAATTCTGAAGTAGTTAGGAAAAACCAAAATGTTTTTCCTACTCTCATACTCAATATAATAATACTTGGAATAACAAAAGACCACGAATAGCCAAAGCAATACTGAGCAAAAAAAATAAAGCTGGAGGTATTACTCTACNCGTTACCGGTTAGTAAAAAAAAAAAAAGACAAAAAGGAAAAAAGAAAAAAAAAAGATTAAGCTTATAATAGTGAGTGCTCAGGCAGACAAGAATATAATTAGAGATGCAAATTAAATGCCGGGGGGGGGGGGGGGGGCGGTTAAAAGGAATTGTCTGAATAGGACAAGTTCTTTAGTTATAGAAATCAGGGAGGAAAATTCACTTGCAAATTCATAGGGGCTGTACCATAATTTAAAGTAAGGAATAATTACTTATTTTCTTTCATAGGCTCAACAAAAGGATGTTATTGAAATTGATATGTTAGTTAAGAACCAGGGAATACTTAGACAGTCACACTACGCCCTTCCTTTGGAAGAAAGCATGCTGTACTCTATTTCTCGAGAAAATGACATTTTATTTACCCTTCCCAACCTCTCCAAAAAAGGTAATTTAAAAGACCAATATTTAAAGTATTAAGGAAATTATTGCTTTAGTTGGCCGCTTTATATGTGAAAGAAAGTGATTCAAGAGGCCGGGTACCGTTCAAGCTTTTTTAAAGAAAGAAATCTGCTGGGCTGTGCTCAAAGTAGGAGGCAGCCAAGGGCTGCCCTGGAAAGGGGACAGCACCAGGTGTGGGGGTGGTAGAGCTTATATTGGTATGTTGGTGCCAAGAGCTGGGTGATACCGTCAAGGTGGGTTGGGTGATACCGTCAAGGTGGGTCATTATGCCAATGTGGGTCGGGGTGGAGAACTACCTCCTTGCAGAAGGAAAAGGGGTTTCTGTTTAAGTCAGGAGGCTTCTCATAAAGGGAAGGGGGGAGGGGAGGGGAGGAGGTGGACAGGCCCATTTTGTACTTGGGCTTGTCTAAAGTGGCACTGGTTATGTTCCAGATCTATTAATATGCTCTTGAATTTTATAATTTTTACACTATTTGTAAGAGCTGCTAAATATCTTTAATTATAGTTAATATGCTTGGAAAT